AGTGGAGAGTGAATGGGGGGGGGGAGCCCCCAAGTGTGAGAACCACCGCTAGTGCAAGAAACTCCTCGTGGGGCGTCCTTCGGGGCTAGCTCTGCCGGATGGTGGATTCCTGGACTAGCGCTCCTAGGGTCCCCCGCCCCGTCAGTCCTCGCTGCCCTCGATGCTTCCCGAGTCACGGGACCCAGCAAGTTCTAAACACCCTGCCTCCTGCACACCCCTAGCTGCCAGTCGGGTCCTGATGTGATCGGTCTCCCGGAGGGGACGGGAGACCTCTGAAGGGTTTACAGCTGAATGGATAGAAAATAGAGCCTGGGGCTGGGGTGCCGGGAGGCTAAGCCCGTGAAAAGGAGAGCTTTCTGATAAGAACGGAAGACAGGGAATTGTAGTGACTGAGCCCCTACTGGGGGGCAGGTCCTCTGCATCAGTTTATCCCTCAACCCGGGAGCGGGCATACTTATGCCCCTTAGGGTATCACGCTCAAGGTCACACCGTTAGTTCCTTCTTCCTGCAACAAGTTCAAACTTTATCGTGGTCTCTTGGACCTCAGGAGTGCGCCCTTCTCCCAGCTTTCAGAGCCGGCGCTTCCCTCTCTTAAATTGTTACATTTGCTGTGCTTTGCTTCTCAAGCCAGGAGTGGAGGGAGAAGAGATCTAGGGGAGCCCCGGGGGGGCTGGGGTCACATCACACATTCAGCATGTGACAAAGAGGAGCCCCTCTCTGCGCCAGGCACTGGGGATAGTGATGAATAAAAGACCTCAGTCTTCATTCAAGGGGCCAACACTGTGGTGGGCAGAGGATGTAGACAGGGTCCCGCATCACGCTCCGGTTCTGGGGACCTCCTCCCACCTCTGGCTATCCTCATCCTCCACCGCTTTTTTTTTTTTTTTTTTTTTTGTAATAAATGTATTTATTTATTTGTTTTTATTTTTGACTGTGTTCAGTCTTCGTTGCTGTGCGCGGGCTTTCTCTAGTTGCAGAGAGCGGGGGCTGATCTACATTGCGGTGGGCGGGCTTCTCGTTGTCGTGGCTTCTCTTGTTGCAGGGCACGGGCGCTAGGCACGTGGGCTTCAGTAGTTGTGGCTCGCGGGCTCAGTAGTTGTGGCTCGCGGGCTCTGAAGCGCAGGCTCAGTAGTTGTGGTGCACGGGCTTAGTTGCTCCGCAGCATGTATGTGAGATCTTCCCGGACCCGGGCTCGAACCCGCGTCCCTGCATTGGCAGACGGATTCTTAACCACAGCGCCACCAGGGAAGCCCTATCCCCCCGCCTCTTGGAGCTCACTGCTGGTCGACCCAGTGTGAAGCAGAGGAAGGGATTCAGGGAGATCAGCCTCTTTTGAAGGCGAGTGAGTCCCTTAGGACCGCAAATTCCAGAAGGAGAACAGACAGAAGAAAGAGGGCAGGAAGCCCCTCCCCCTGCAGTCCTTTGTCCAGCCAGACACAGCACAAAGACCGGGGGCTGCCCCAGGGACGCGAGGAAGAGGAGACCTTGTCTCCTTTGTACCACCAGGGAGTCCCGTGGTGAGGGAAGGTGCCGCCCCCCC